TGTGTGTGTGTGTGTGTGTGTGTGTGTGTGTGTGTGTGTGTGTGTGTTTCTCTGTTTAGCATTTGCTGTAATTGCAGAGGCAGGCTTCTGGCCACCAGAGCAGATGTTGTCCAGTCACTGGCCCTCCCCTCAGCTCAGCCGTGCATAAAGACACAGCGGTGGAGCATTGTTCACATTAATTAATGAATTTCCCTGCTGTCGACCACCAGCAGAGGATTTAGGCAACATGAATAACCAAAGTCTTCTACAGATCTAACAGTGTAAGTAACCACAACAGAAACCCCAGATTTAAAAGAAATGGGAATTCTTGTGTGAATTTACATTTATGGTTGGAAGCAACTTACACATTCACAACTCTTTGCTGATTGACTTTTTAGGGTGCTGTCGACTACATTACATACACTTATCAATTAAATTTTATTTATACAGAACCATAGCACAATATCCATTACGTCAATGCACATTACATAGCAAGGTTAAAACCTTAAAATTCAAACATTAATGCCTGACAACCTTTTACCAAGTGTTCCCAAAGAATTTGGCATAATTTGTAGCCTAATGTTTACATGGTAGCCGTCAGTCTAGAAGATAATGTGTGTAAAACCAAAGCAGACAGTTTGGAAGTAGGCAACACTTGTGATGTTAGTGTTCACTGCGTGGTTAAAACTTGAAGATGGATAAATCTTTACTGTTCTCCACATTTCAGCAGCTTCACATCACTTGTTTTGGATGCGACTGAATGGACCTATCAGAAGCTAGAAGGTAAACGTGACACTCACAAAAGTAAGTAAGTAAGAATTTTGTTGGTTTTAAAGTGGCAGATGTTAAAAAAACAACTTTAAAATATGTAACTAGCTTTAAACTAATAATGAATATGTAAATTCTTAACATCATACGCATATATTTTTAGTAATTGAATATATTGGTGTATGTTCATTAACTTGACCTCTGAACCTTACATGTGTTTTGAAAATGAAATTGCCCTCATTGACAAACGTAGTCTCAGGGCTACAGGGGCCATTAAACAAATAACAACAAAACCTGCAAAAACAACAAGACTGCGTCAGGTCACAAAGCTGCGTCTGTGCACGAGCTCGTCACCTCTGACGCGTGGGTCACCCATTGACACCCTGAGGTGCTGTGTTTTTATAACGTCCACACTGCGGCTGTAAACCTGCAGACACGTGGCCACGGGTGAAAATATAGACCCACACATTCTCTAAATCCTCGATCAGAATATATATATTAGTGGATAGATTCTGTGGGAGTCTATAGCTCTGTAATTCATTCTACAGTTTATTATGGAGTTGTTTTATTTAAGCTGTGACACGTGAAGGGCTGTGATATAAACTTTAAAAGGTTTAAATAAGTCCAGAATATGTACAAGTGCATTTATACTATGATAACATATGGCCTAGATATACCCCTCATATGGATATTAAAGCGTTCTGCTCGTGGGAACTGAAGGCATCAGATGGTGTGTCGATGAGGCCAAAAGGTGGTTTATCACTTTGCGTTTATTGTGTTCGCGCTGATGTGGTAAAAAACAACACGTGCAGTGGTTTCTGTCGAGGTCACCGTTCAGTCACTGGGACACATTTCTTCTTCTGGTCCAAAGTAAACAAACTGGAAACCTTATCATAAAAATCTCATAATAAAGCTGATCCCACATCCGAGCCGGACTAATCTGATCCATTTTACTCAGACAATAAACCAGGCCTTGTTTAAAACTCATTCAGACAGATGCTCCTCAAATGAAACTCTAATCTGATTCCAGCGTTAATTGATTTACTTCAGTGATGTGAGGAGCTGAAGCTTTGAGGTGCACAAAGGAGCATCCTGTCCACAGATCAGCGCAGCGGGACTAACACCTCCTTTCAGACGAGAGGTTTCCAAACAGGCTGCGAGGGAATGCGTGCGTGTGCACTGCAACGCAGGACCAGGCACAGGGTTAGCAGAGTTACACAGTTTCAAATGGGTCATCCATGGATGATGAATGGGATAAACTGTAGTTTTATCTATAAGAAACATAGATGTTCATTTTACAAGGAACAATCTGCACAAACCTCGTCAGGGAATTATAATTCTTCTCCAGGAAAGTTGAAAACATATCAGACCCAGCAGGTCACCATGAGTCAAAGATTAGTCGGTACTTGGAGGTGAACAGTCTTCTTTCCCGTGCGCTCAGGGAGGGGTCTGCTGGGCAGTTAGCACGCACTTTACCCAGATGGAGAACAGTTAGGAAACCATCCAGCGTGTATTCATATGTTGATGTGAGGGAGCATGTGGTTTTTCTTTTATTGCAGTTTTCAAAGTTAGAGAAGCACACGACAGTAGACACACACCGCCTGCACATCTGCAACAAGCAGACACAATCCACAAAATAAACCTATTTTGTCCCAGATTCTGAACAACAAATTCTGTCGTAATTGTTGACAAGATATTATTTGAAATGGACCAGTGACGATTAAATGTGTTCTGCAGTTCTCATCATGTTTAATCTGAATATTCAACATGAGTACATCCTCTCTAAATTCGACCATGTCGTGATAGATCTAACGTGGAACTGGACACTGGATGCACTGGTAGCAGCCTCTCCCATAATCTTTCAAATGTGTCTGCTGAATTTGAGTGGTTGATAAAGATTCGATTGTGTATATGCATATTGTTATAAACCTAATCCAAATAGTTGAGTAGTAGTATGTTTCTAGCTTTGTTTCAACGTCTGGGGTTTTGTAGATTGGACATTTTCAGACCAGAAGCAGTCTGGAGCCCGAGCAGTGTGAATGACCACTCTGCCTTTCTACATTTGAAAACCATCAACATTTCAAAAGACAAAATGTGTCATAACTGTTGTGCCCAGCCTGGATAAAGTATGTGTTAACTGCACCCTTTTCTTCTGCGGCGTTTGGAAAGTCAACTCAAATGCAAGCAATTCACGCAGCGAATAGGCCACTCCATTTTTCTGTGAAAGATCAGGAAACTGGACTTTTATTGTAAATCACATACAAGTTCAGCTTTAACAACTTTCAACAACCTCATTTACATCACAGAGCAAAGAGGGAAAAAACAGGAGAGCGCCCCTGATCGAGCTGCAAAAATAAAAAACAGATTTTGCGCACTGTTTTCAGCGTCTTACGCACGCGTAAAAGCATCACCAAATATACTTTCTCGTGATGTTAAAATAACACCAGCCTGCAGACATCCCCGCCTGAAAAAAATATCATATGTACACATCATATTTAAAAAAGAAAAAAATATTGGGGATGCCAAAATAAAAACGCCACACACATGTGGAAAATATCATCGATGTCATAGAAAATGTGACTGTACAGGAGAATTCACGGCTGTACAATAAAATACATATTTACACTGTCTGCTGGCATCTACAGCTTCATAGTCTCAAATAAAAATCTGTGTCTGAAGTCTCTGTTACTGAGGCCAGGGCCTCCACACGGGATCGGTGATGTGCGTGGACCCTGAGTTGGAGGAAAACGGCTTCGTGCTCTCGCAGTGGAGGCCGGTGAGGTACGGATGAGAGATTCCGTGCTTGCTGTGGTGGCGGGCTGCACGAGGAGCCAGAGAAGTCGAGTCTACAGCGGGTATCAGTGTCTTGTGGATGTGTTCGGGTGAGGGAGCGGGAGTATGTGCCTCGGGGAGCGCAAGAGAAGCCTTAATTGCATCTCCATCGGCGTCCTCTGCCTCCTGGCTCTTGGTGGCTATGAAGTGGCTGACCCTCAGCAGGCAGGACCTCATGCCTTCATGGTAGCTGTGCTGGCGGGCACCACAGGCCCGGTTCTTGGACAGGACTCTGTCCTCATCATTCTCTGTCCTCAAGAACTGGACCACGCTCTCCAGAATCTCTGCCTTCTCCACCTTTGGATTCTTCAGTTTCTAAATGAAGAAAAACCACAGTACAAATTAGTCACTAATTAATATAATAATTAATGTAACATTAATACATTCAGGAACACAGGGATTCCGAACCCCGACAGAAAAACCATGACGCACAGACGAACCTCATTTTGTGTGCTCTTCAGCATCAGAACTCTTAAAGTCTCCAGACTGTGGTTAATTCGCTCACGCCTGCGTTTCTCCATCAGAGGTTTGGGCACCTGGAGTGAAACGCACAATATTAGACTCTAAAAATCAAAGTGAAAATCAGATATTCTCTTTAACAGCCGGAGTTCAGCAGCTTACCCTTCTCATGGTCCTCTGTCTGGGAGACTCGGGTGAAGATAGAGACTTCATGCTCAGAGCGGTGTCGGTGCAGTGGATCCAAAATGAAAAGGGAGCATGTTTGTGTCCTCTTGGAATTTGTTGATTTCTTTGCGCACAGCCACGCCCCTGACAGCCACGCCCCCATCCATTCAGCAGCCTTGACATTGAAGAGAACTGAAATTACATGACCTCATATACATCACCCTGTCTAGTTTCTTAACCTAGTGATCAGAATGGCAGAAAACGTGGGGCCTTAAGTGTGCCATTTGATTTATTTATCCACAGGTTTCAATTCATCTGTTTTCAGTTCACTCTAATGTTGGAACGTTTGTTTTTTTACATTAAGTTGTGTAAGTCATTGGATCTGTCGTGTAATTATATTCCTTCACCCACTCATGAACCCTATCATTTCCTAATGTCCTACTATATTCGGGACAAGAGGGGAACTCAGTTAACTTTACATCAGCAGATTTTACGCACAGGTTTCAAGAGTTTTACGCACGCGTAAAAGCATCACCAAATATAATTGTTACAATAAAATCTTCCCGCATAAACTTTTTGCCTGAGAGATATTGTAGATAGATGTAAAGCCACTTCAGTTTCTCGACCCCCCGCCACCCCCCAGTCCCACACACACTTACACACCCATCAGCCAAATTGCCTGCTTCACACCTTTGCGCTCGTGTGTGTGTGAAGCAGTTGTGTTTATCTACAGAGGGTGTGGTTGGTGTGAGGCCTTGACGCATGAACAACCTGATGTTTCATGCTCAGTTTAAAGATGTGTGGGGTTTAGGGTGAGAGTGGGATTTAGGCTTTTTTTTGGGGGGGGGGGGGCAGCAGTGGATTTCTGCTCACCGCTGATCCCTATAATTGGCTAAAGTGTGGAGATAACACAGGGATGATCGGATCACGGAGAGATTAAGAGGCTTTTCAGAGGCAATGATACTTCCGTTTAAAATCAAAGAGAGGGCGATCAGTGGAGGCTCAGGGGTCACTACTGGTAACCATGGCAATGGAGAACTATCTATATTGAGTTTCACACACTATACATTTTATATTTAATTATAATAATTATATGATCAAGTTTATAGTCAAACATAAACATACTCTCACAGATTTAGCATTTAGATGCTCTCTCTCTCCCTCTCTCTCTCTCTCTCTCTGTATCTGTGTATAGGGATTTAAGACACGTGGACACGCCCCCCTGTCTCCTGAGCCTGCAGGAAACTAATGAGTTTAAAACTTCGTCTTTGGTGTTGGAGAAACGGACCGTTCACTTCTAATATCATGACTCGTGGAGTGAATCAGCCCCACACTCATAAAAGAGTTAAAAACATGAACGTGTGTGTGAATCCGAATGTCAGGTCAGGTATGAAGCTTCGCACACTTAACACTCACGTGTAATAATCACCCTCACACTTCGTCATCATCGTGTGACCTGAGGTGACCTGGCGTGCTCCCGTTTGCCCACTGTTCCCACACATCACTTGACTGCCACGTTCATAATATTCTATCGTTTCGATCAATGCAGTCTCTTTAATCCATATGCATCGCTCCAAATATATTCATGGATGCAGGAATGTGGCACTGCTTCTTTATTCGCACCATCGGTCTCGTAACGTGCTCTCATTTGGTCTTTTTCATCACTTAGTGCAAAGTGCTGATGTCTCACACTTCATAAAAACTCCTCAGAGCTGCTCACTCTCTCACTTCATGTCTGTTCCCACGACCAGAAAACCCCAACGTTCCCATGCTCTCACCTTTCTGAAGGCCTTAGAGACAACGTGTCAATCTACTAATACAATTAGCTGAGCAGAGGAGTGTGAATCGAGAACGTGGCTGATGTTACACAAAGTTTGCTATCTACTTTATAAAAAGTATTGATAAAAACCTTTTTATTTGTGTGTACAACTCCCGAGCAGTCTCAGATGCATCTGGACACGTGTGGCAGACATTTTATTCCAGTGTCTGTTGGAATTTGGGATAAAAGTTGTCAGTAATCTAAATAATTGTATTTTAACACATGCTATGTACGAATGTCGTACAGAAATGACAACGTTAATAAAATCTCCTTTTATGAGACTGAAAAAATAACCTCACTTAAGATGATGTCATGTTTTTGTCGTCAATAATACACATTTTTGGTTTCGATCATATCCAGACCTATAAGCCAAATGATTTTTCTTTAAAAACATTTTATTTTTGATATATGTATATTGTAAAACTATACATCCGTGACAAATAAAAAAGAACATTTAGCATCTTCTGTCACAAAAAAAAAATCATTTGACTGTCACCATCATTTTTATCTCAAATTCTCATCAATGGTTAGATTATTAGTTTCGATCTCATTCAGCCCCATGGATGCAATAAAACCACTCTCTGTCAAGTGCCGTCACTGACACCTGTCAGCCAATCAGAGCAGCACCAGGCCCAGTTAGACCCACCCCCAGGGAGCAGGAGGCTTTATGAGCAGCTGCAGTTCTCAGTCTGGACATTTGGACCAAACACAGCAACATGACCAGAAAAGTGCAAAACCCCAGTGTGGAGGATGGCAGGAGCAGGAAAAGGGTAAGAATCTATTTTTTATTATTTATTTATTTATCTGGGGACACATGCTAACTGTACCTTGAATACATTTATTCATGAGAACAAATGATGGACTAATACTCTCTGAGGACGAGTCCCTATAGTTGCATCATGGTGTTTATCTTTCTTTGATACTTTTTTTGTCCTCTTTGCTGTTCAGTCATAAGAAGGAATTGTTTGCTTCTTACTTCTGTTTTAGAAATCTGGATTTGAGGGATTTTTAAGAAGAAAAAATCCTCTTTATTATGGAATTGTATAATTTTGACAGCAATTACAAGCAGATTCTTTTTTACAACTCAAGAAACCAAAACTGATTCTTGTTATTCTCTTATAACTGATCTGATAAAGCATTAGAAAATTATCAATTAATCACATTAATTAAATGTATTATTTTGTGTTTTAATTAAAAAAATATTTGCTTTAGAATTTTTTATCAAAGACAAACCTGTTTTTTTTACAGTTATACATCACAGGTGTAAATTTATCAACACAAAACACCACAACTGTGTGTATTCAGTCCTCAGTTGAGGGAGCTTTGGGCCTCAGCCACTTACAACTTGCTATTTCACGTGCCGTCAGCAGGATTGTCATGAGGGCTCTGTCTTTTGAGTGTAACTGTTGTGGATAAATGCCTCATTATTGCATATTCATTCCATCGTATAATATAACCTTGGACACCTTGATGAGTGACCACAACCTCATTATCTCATAATCTCTTTCCAGATCCTGAAGCCAGTCGTTGAAAAGAAGAGAAGAGATCGAATAAACCAAAGTCTCTCTGAGCTGAGGAGTTTGCTGTTGAATCACACATCGGATCCAGTGAGTCAAGTCAAAACACTCACATAAAGATGCTGCATGTATTCACAAATAAACCTTTCATTACGATAATGAAATTAATGTTTTCCCACTTTTGTGTGTTAACGTTCACAGCGGCTGCAGAATCCTAAAATAGAGAAAGCCGAAATTCTGGACCTGGCTGTGGAATATATTCAGAGATCGACCGATGGAAAGAAAACGAGCAATGGTTAGTGAAATATAATAATTCATCAGCTTCTTGAAATGCACCTCTGCTGAAAATCAGTTTTGTAATCTGTTTTCCCTCTCTCCTTTGTGTCTTGTCACTTGTTGCAGATTCTCCTAATGGTCAGACGAAGACTCGTGCTCCTGTGTTGAGCCTTCATCACCCAGAGTCCAGTCTTCCTCCTCTCTTCAGCATCCAGAGTGCAGGTTTCCAGCAGTGCATGTCCCAGCTGAGCAGCTACATGAGCAGAATACCACCAGCACAGAGAACGAGCCTGATAGAGGGGTTGAAGCATCACACAGAGAAGCAGCAGAGGCCAGACTTTAACCAGAACACGTCTGAGCTGCAACAGGAAGCAACATCTGTGGACGAGTCTTCCAGGTTGCTGCTTCCGTCCCCCTCCCAGTTCCAGCCCCAGTCTTGCTCCACGCCATCCCACGACTACCTCTCCCCTCCCTCTTCCCCCTGGTTCTCTCCTTCTTTCTCCACATATGCCACCTCTCCTCCGTTCCCGTCGTTCGCCTCTCACTTCTCCTTCCCCCCTAGCCTGTCACCTCCATCTTCCAACACCTCCTTCTACAGTTTCTCGCCCACGGCCCCTCACACCAGCCCTGCTGGCCCACACTTCCCATCACCCTGGGCTCCGAGATCCACTCCACACCTTGTGCCGAGGGAGGGGTCACCACCGAACACTTCTTTGTCAGTGTGGAGACCCTGGTTTTGAGGAGGAGTTGCAGAGACTGACAATCTGAGAAGAGCTGACTTAAACTTGAATGTGTGGAGAAGATGAACGACTCTTCTGCAATGTACAGTGTATATATTATCAAAATGTCTTATATTTTCTATTTCTCTTGTAAATAAAATTTGTACTTGAATCTTACAAAGTCTCAGTTTCTGCATTTATCTATGTCACATATATATATATATACATATATATATATATATATATACATATATACTAACATATGAACACATTGCAGGTTTTATGATCACTCCCTCACCACATGACTGTTGATGGGAATACTTTGGTATTTATGATTGTGTCAATTTCTGTTTAAGGCCCAGAGATCAGTATTCAACAAGGTCGGACACACACTCAATCCATTTTAATCAATATTGAATTTGTCAACCAGTAGATATAGTTAAAGGTAATTCTCTCCATGGTTTGAACCTCACCTATCCAGTCAGATTCAGACTTTGACCATTTACAGCTTTCTAACTGACAAAACAAACATTTGTTTTGTACCAATAAAGAAGCTGTAATGATGCCAAAGTAAATTGTAGAAGAGTAGTGAATCAATCCCATCAGCAATGATATTCTGTATTACTTGTGTTACATCAGTGCGACCAATTGGCTGGCCAGCTCCAAAATACATTGAAAATCAATCAATCAATACCATTTTATTTGTATAGCCCATATTCACAAATCAGTTTTCTCATAG